AAATCTTTACTTTCAGGGGATAGAAAACACAGAAAAAAGAATAACTTCCTAGAGATGTATGAATTATCTAAGCTGAATCAAGAAAATATAAAAATTTTGAATGATGCAGTATCAATTAATAAAACAAAACATAATTAAAAGCTAACCACCAATATCATAATGCTGAAATTCTGAAGGATTGACAGGTAAATTTTCCAAGAAATTTAGGGAACATTTAATGACAGTACTCCTCAAAACGTTTAATGAAATTGAAAGTGAAAGCAAGTGTCCCTTACCCATTCCTGGTGGCAAATATTACTCTGATACTCAAACCAGAGAAAAACACAACCACTAAGGCAAACTACAGGCCAATCTCCCTAATGAACATAGGTGAAAAAATCCTCAATAAAATATTAGCCAGCAGAATGCAGCAGATCATCAAGAAGATTGGACACCATGACCAAGTGAAGTTCATACCAGGAATGCAGGGTGGTTCTGCATGCACACATGAATAAAAATACTGCCCCATATCAATAGAGACAAAGACAAAAATCACCCAATCATATCATTAGATGCAGAAAAAGATTTTGATAAAGTCCAACACTCATTCTTGGTAAATTTCTAGAGAAACTTGGAATAGATAGTCTCTACTTCAATCTGGTAAATGGTGACAAACCACTGCCAATATCAGAGTAAATGGACAAAAACTGAAAACTTTCACCTTAAAATCAAGGCCAATACAAGGATGTCCACTATCATCACATCTGTTCAACCTGGTTCTGAAAATGTTAGTGAGAGCAAATAAACAAGAGTAAGAAATAACAGGAGTGATGATAATGGAAGACGTTATCATTCTTTGAAGATGACATGATACTGTACATAGAAGACCACCCAAAACACCACCTAAAAACTATTAGAGTTAATAAGCCAATTCAGCAGCAAAAGTGGATACAAAATCAACACTCAAAACTCCATAGTCTTAAATAAAAAAATCCATAGTATTGTTGTACACCAACAACAAACTCACTGATAGAAATTAGGAAAACAACACTTTTTGCAATAGCATCCAAAAAAATGAAATACTTAGAAATAAATCTAACAGGGTGTGAAAGATTCATGTATTGAAAATTTTAATACTCTGGAAAAGGAGCTAAAAGAGTATATCAGAAAATGGAAAGATATCCCTTGCTAACACTGTGAAAATGGCCATACTGCCAAACTGTTGTACAGATTTAATGCAATTGATCAAAATATCATTAGTATCACAGATCTAGAGAAAACATTCATTAAATTCATTTGGAAATAGAAGAGACCTAGAGTACAGCTAGGGATATAGCTCAGTAGCACAGTGCCTGCTTGGTAAACACAAGATCCTGAGTTCAATTCCTGGTACCAAAAAAGACAAACCTGAAATAGCAGACAGGCCTGGGCTAACAAAGGCAACTTGGGCATTACCATCTTGCCTTAAACTTATACAAACTTTCTATTATAGAATAAGTATGGTACTGGCAAAAAGAAGTCCTGAGGATCAGTGGAACACATTAGAAGATCCAGACAAAACTACAAAGACATTCAGCCACCTTCTGCTTGACAAAAGGGCCCAACATTTTCCCTGGAAGAAACAGAGCCACTGTAATAAATGCTGCTGGAAAAATTGGTGTTCCACATGCTGAAGTCTAGACTCATGTCTATTACCATGAATTAAATTAAAGTTAAAATGGATCCAAGATCTAAATATTAAAACAGAAACACTAAATCTACTAGATGATAAGGAAAGTAGAAGACTTGAAGACATAGAGGTAGGCAGAGTTCATGAACAAAACCCAAATGGCATGGGAAGTGCTTCAAAGAATCAATAGCTGTGATCTCATCTTACTGAAAAATTTTTGCACATCAAAAGATATCACTAACAGAACCCATAGATTGGGAAAAATTTTAGCGAACTATCTGTCAGACAAAGAACTTCTATCTAGAATATACAAACAACTGAAAAAATAAGATCCCCAAATTCAAAGACCCAATCAAAAAATGAGTATCTGAGATGAACATGTATGAAGAAATACTAATGGCCAATAACTATATGAATAAATGTTCAATATCATTGGTCACTGAAAAAATGCAAAATATCAGAACCCTGAGATTCCATGTCACTCCAGAATCAATGGCTGTTGTGAACAAATCAACTAAGAATAAATTCTGCTGGGTTATGGGGAAAAAAAGAAACTCTTGAGCAGTGTTGGTAGGAATGTAGACTGGTGCAACCACTGTGGCAATCAGTGTGGAAATTTGTCAAAAGACTAGTACTGGAGGCCCCATTCAGTTCTGCTATTTTCCTTCTGGGTGTGTTCCCAGAAGAATTGTAAACATCATAACAATTCAATATATGTGCACTCATGCTTATAGCTAAATCTTGGAAACAACACAAATGCCCTTTAACCGTGGAATGGATAGAAAGAAAAAAAAAAAAGATGTGGTATTTTGTTACAATGGAGTACTACTCAGCTGTAATGATAGATAAACTCAAGGCTTTTATAGGTAAATGGATGGCAATTTGAGACCATACTCGTAAGTGAAATAAATAAGACTGCCATGTGTAAATATTTTATTGTCTCCATTGTGTAAAAAACTGAAAGAGTAATAAGATCCAAAATGTACAATAAGTATTGTAAAAATGAAAAGAGAAGAAACTGCTCAAAAGAAAGAAAAACTGAAATAGGGAAAGGAGAAAAGAAAGAAGGGGAAGGAACACACACACACACACACACAAAGGTAGCAAGGGTAGATAATTATAGTAATAATCTCTGTTATTTCAACAAAAAGAATGGTTTGTGTTGTCATTGTTTGATCAGTTTTTCATGCCTGTATCTTGTAATCTGAGCAACTACTTTGAAGATAATTATATGCAATCTATTAACTATTGTGTTGATGTCCAATTGTTTTGAAATTCTCTATCATTTTTATTCTTTTTGTTTTAAAATTAACAAAAATGTGTAGTTTTCACTGATCCTTTTTGTACTCATTTCTGAAGGATACCACATCATGTACATTTTTAAAAAGCAATTTGTTATGCTTTTCACTTGTTGATCTGTCATTTATTATAGGAATATTAGCCGTGAACCTTGTAACTGTTATGGGAAAGATACTTTTCCCCACTTCTCTATATGAAGGCAACCAGGAGTCTCCCAGTCTCTACTCTTTCTCACAGCTGGAATGTCCAGCCATGAGTTGCTGCCCACACATATTCCACTATGTCCCTCCCATTTGACTGCTAGATCCCTGAAGTGACACCCAGAGTTACAGGTGTCAGTTTGCCCTGAGTCTGTATTTATTGTTCCTTTTACACAGCAGGCAGTTCTCTGCCATATTTGTATAATGTTCACAATCACTCCTAAGGGTTCAGATGGCAACTGTTTGTTTCAAACTATCTGGAGTAAGGAATACCTAGAGAAATAGTGAAAAGATTATTTCTGCATGTTCGTGCAGTGTTTCCAGAGGACACTGACACCTGCCTGAATCAATGCATTGAGGGAGAAGATCAACATTTTTCAACACATCCACTCATCTTCAGGCCCAGATAAAAGAAGGAAGGCAAAGAAAAGGTAATTTTTCCTCCCTCCTAGAACTGGAACACATGTCTTTCATATTAGTAAAAGTTAGTGCTAATACACTTTTAATGAGGTTTATTTTTTACCACATTTGCTATTGCAGAAGTACAAGCTCCGTGGAACTTTACACTGCAAGACATGTACTACTGGCCTCACTTTTGGGATCAGTTTCTCTGATTCTAAGACTTCCAGAGATGGAATGAGCCATGCTACTGGCATTCAGGGTCTCTTGCATATAGAGGAGCTCCTATGTCTTAAGCAGTTTCTCAGGCACAATATTCATGTGAACTAATTTACTTACTAAATCCTCTCATCTATCTCTGTATCCTTTTATCTATTTTATTATTTAGGTTTCACTGAAGCACTTGAAACATATAGAACTGCATGAGAATCGTTTCTACCACCTCTACTAACATATGTGCATATCTTATTATTATTATTTTTCCCTGTGAGCTTCCAGTTTTTTAAGAAGTTTCTGGTTCATTAAAGTGAAACAACCTGAGGCAATGCTGTCTACATTGTTAAAACTCACAATTAACTTTAGTTTTCCTTCATCATCAGAGATTGCATCATGGACTAGTAGTGCAAAAATAGCAATGAGAATTATATAACAAATGAAAAGGAAACTAAATGTAAGTGTGTTAGTTACTTTATGCTCATCGCTGAGACAAAATACCTGATGCCCAAGTTGGGAAAGGAAAGGTTTATTTCTTACAGTTTTTGGAGGTTTCAGTCCACGCTTAGTTGGCTCCCAGGAAGGTGGGCATGGCTGGGCCGCCTTTCCTGGTGGCTGCAAACAGCAAAGAGGAACCAGCAAAGAGCAAGACACACCTTCTTCCTGCCATTACATCACATCCTGGCTCCACCCCTATGTGGGTGTAGCACTGACACCATCAATCCAAGCACTAGACAATGAACGAATAACAAATGCACAATTCAAACTTATGAGGCCTGGGGGACACAGACATAAATGATGACATTCCACCCCTGGCCCCCAGGACTCATGTACATCCTTTACACAAAACACATTTAGTCCACCTCCAAGATTTGCCAAAGTCCTAACAGCTTCAGCATTGCTGAAAAGTCCAAGTTCAAAGTCTCCTCCAAGATCTATGGCAAACTCTTAACTATAACCCCCTGTACAAATGAAACAAGGTTAAACATTTCTGAAATGCAAAGGCACAAGATAAGCATTACCATTCCAAAAGTTACAAACAGGGGAATATAAAGTATTGGAAACAAAGCAAGTCCAACATCCAGCAGGGCAAACATTAAGTCCTAGAGTCCCACACTCAGCATCTGAAGCAATCTGGCTGCAAGCTCCAAAAGGCTTGGGTAATTCCACCCTCAGGGCACTTCCAGCAATTTCAACTGCTGCAGCTTTTCTCTTAAATCTTCTCTGCTCACTTTTTGCAGCTTCCCTGGGATCATCCACATTCCTGGCTTTTCCAAACTACTGGGGTCTCCACTGCACCTTCGGCTTCACACTTACGTCTTCACAAATTGTCCTCTCAGAAGCACACTGCTTGGCCAGCCAGGCCCTTTGCAATCGAGGTGGAAGCCGTCTTACCCTCAGAATTTGTGCGTTTTCCTTGCACCTAAAATCAGCACCTTGTGGATGCCACCAAGGTTTGCTGCTAGCTGGAGCAGGAGCCAGGCTTTTCTCCTTGGCTGTAGGGGTCAGTTGCCTGGATTGCAGGGCCCTGATTGTGAGAAAAAGCTTCTCTATGTTGCCGCCATTTTGGAACCTCATGTGGCCACTGTCACCATTCTGGAACATGGTGCTCTGCAGCTTTCTCCTCTGAGCAAATTCTTTTACCTTTACTATGAGGCTGCACAAGGTGGGGACCGGCTTCCTGGGATGCCCCGGGGCCATCTTTCTTATCTCTTTGTTTCCCATCAACAATCAAAGTCTCAACTCTGTCTTTACAATCCACAGCCTTCCTGGAATTTTCCTTCTGGCCAAACTAACAGCATTGTAAATTTTCCTGCTGGACTCTTTGCTCCTGATTCGAAACATATAGCTGGCTGAAAGCCCCCAACAATAGCCATGCCACAGCCTCAAGTTTGATTGCTTTTTAATTTCTTTTTCAAGATTAATCAGTCCATTGCCCTTTGTCTCAGTCTCAGGCAAAGTCTCTGGGCAGGAACAAAATGTAGACAAACTTTCTGCCAAGCCATAACACACATCACGTGGAGTCCAACAACCGATGCAGTCCTTCCCAGCAGAAACCTCCCAAGCCTGCTCTTTACCATGAGGCTTTCTATCAGCTTTCTGGTCTCCTGAGCTCTGACCAGAATCTCCTCTACAGAATAGCCTAAGCTGCTCCAGCTCTATGCATCCAGGCGACATGTCCAAACATTTCCAAATTCTGTCCAAAAGCCATTTCCAAAGCCTCTCGAAAAACATGGCCAGGTATAGTCAGAGCAAACGACCCCACTCCTTGGTACCAAATTCTGTCTTAGTTACCTTATGCTCATCGCTGAGACAAAATACCTGATGCCTAAGTTGGGAAAGGAAAGGTTTATTTCTTACAGTGTTTGGAGGCTCCCAGGAAGGTGGGCATGCCTGGGCCACCTTTCCTGGTGGCTGCAAACAGCAAACAGGAACCAGCAAAGAGCAAGACACACCTTCTTCCTGCCATTACATCACATCCTGGCTCCACCCCTATGTGGGTGTAGCACTGACACCATCAATCCAAGCACTAGACAATGAACGAATAACAAATGCACAATTCAAACTTATGAGGCCTGGGGGACACAGACATAAACCATGACAGTAAGCTACACTGACTTTGGAGCATTGGTAAGGATTTCTCTCTGTTTGAACAGCCTTTCAGAGTGGGGTACTGAGAGGAGTGCATCTTACCTTCACATGTCAGAGGTTTTTCCTGGTTTTCTGGAACTTTTCTCCTGCAAACCTTTAACTCTGAACAGAGGAGCAGAATTCATGTGACATATGTCCTTGTAGTCAGCTGGTGTATTTACCAAGTAGCAATGGTTCTCTCTAGACTGCTGGACATTTTCTGCAATTTGCATGTTGTAGTAATCTTCTCAATGGCTATTTTTGCCTGTTCCTTTTGAAGAATCATCCTGACACCTCAATGTTTCCTGACCAGTTCTCTTGGCATGGCCTTGGTTTTCCTGCTCACACACCTAGACCAGTAAAAAATAATCTTGTAACCAGATTGAAACAGAAAAGCTAACTTATATGGAGCCCTTACCATTGTGAGGTCAGTGTATAAATTAAAGCAATTAATCATTGTCATAGCTTGATATGTAATACTATAATTATTTGAACTCATACATTTAAGGACATTGGCCATAGACAGTCTACTTTCTTTTCCTGTGTAAATATATATATATTTCCAAATTCTGTCCAAAAGCCATTTCCAAAGCCTCTCGAAAGGACTAGTCCTTGGATTGTATTAGAAACATTTAAGACCTAGAAAATTTTTCTGTCATCTTTAACCATATTGTTATTTAACCATAATGGAATAAAAATTTGAAGTTTTTCCTAGCCTTTTTTTTTCTTACTGCTTAGTTTCGTAAAATGCAAATTATGCTAAAACTTTGACTTAGTTTCTTCCAATGACCAACACCCTCTATCCCTACTTACTCAACTCTGTCAAAGTGTTTTGCATTTTCTTCTCATTACTGAAGTGCTGGTTATATGCAAATGTCTGTTTATTGTACTTTCTGCTCTGAGCTCTTACCTCTGGAAATAACAGCATGTTTATTAGGAAACTTGCCATTGTGTCTGTACTTGATGTTTTGACAGTTTTGTATCTTCTCCCCAAATCTGCAATTTGTGTCCTTAGTCATTAACACAGTAACCTATCAGAAATGTGAGAAACTTCCCAATTTCTCCATATTTGTAGTACTTATCATTTCATTTTTTGACTCCAGATGTTTTACTTTTTTCCATTTCTTTCTTATTTTGATTTACATTTTCCTAATAACTAATGGTCAGTCAGATTTTCAAGTGCTTGCTGTTCTGTGCCCATTAATGATTTTTCTTTGGAAAAAACTCTTTTCTGGTGGTTATTGAGTTTTACCCATTCTTTAAATGCTTTGAATACTAGACCCTTATGAGATTTCCAATTTATATATATTTTCTGTCTTCTACAGGTTGAGTTTGTAGTTTCTTGATAGTAACCTTTGAGCCTTCAAATGTTTAAATGTGATGAAGTCCAATGTATGTATTTTTTCTTTGTTCCTTAGGGCTTTACTGTCTTACTTAAGGATGCATGATGAATCCAGAGTCAGAGCATTGATTTGTAAGTTTTAAGACTTATAGATTTACCTCTTACATTTGGATATTTGATTCTTTTGAATCTTTGTTGTGAGATGTGAGCTTTTGTGGAACTTGATTAATTTGCATGTGAATGTCCAAACTTTTCAGCAGTAATTGTTGAGAAATTTTCCTTTCCAGTTTATATTAGATGCTTATTTTAAATCATACAACCATGGATGGAGGGGCTTATCTGTGCAGTGACAATTCTATTATATTACTACATGTTTCATTTTGCCAGTACTACAGTGTTTTTGTTATTGTATTTTGTAGTATGTTTTGAAATTAAAAAGAATAAATTGCCCTGTGTTTGTCCTTATTTTTCCAAGTTATTTCCCCTATCCAGAGACACTTTCAATTTTATTGGAATTGTGGAATGTACTTTTCCATTCTACAAACCTGCATAATAATAATTGAATTGGGATTGCATATAATACATGGATCATATTGAGAAATATTAAACAGTGTTAAATGTTCAAACCACAGCAGGGCAAAACAAATTGTCATTCATACAGTCTTTCACCTACTGTTAACTAATAGGAGACCAGCATTGCTAATTGGTAGGCTACACATGTGTCTTATAAATATGGCATACCAGCACCAGCATGTGGCAGCACTAAGGAGAGAGAATTCTTACAATCAAGAACAATACCTCAAGTCTCAGCTCTCCCTCATAAAAGTGGAATGCAGTACATGGATTAGTCTAAACCTTACCTATGGCTGCTGGCAGGCTTCCAGATGGAGTACCCAGCACTTGCTCATTGTTGAGAAGTCCAACTTGTCCTGCAAGAAATACAGAGAGCAGAGTGAGGCCTGGGGATCTGTGAGAGGAGTCACTGACACCCAATTCAGAAAGTGACTCAGAGTAGTTCAAGAAGATTGGGTGTCCTCATATGTTTTATCTAAATATTAGGCAGGCCTAAGGTGATGGGACAGCCCTCTTACTGCCCTGCACTGGCAAAGTGGGGCCCTCAGCCTGTTGTACCTCAAAAACGAGCCCCAAAATGGTGTCCAAAAAACAGGGCAAGATGTGTTTTTTAAAGAAAAAGGAGCGCTTTTTATTTATCCTGGCACCAGTGACACAGTACAGTTGGAGTTTGTGAGGCTTTGTAACTCGCTTAAAATTTTGACAGACTTTTATAGAAAGGACAACCACAGAGAAAATGATGCATGGGTGTACATCAGGAATGAGGAAATCCTTTGTTTCCCTTTGCTTGAGGACAGAGAAGATTCCCAGAAATTTACAGTCCTTTGTCAACTAATTTCAGCACTTAATTTTAGATAACATCTATCCTTTACAGAGGGGAACAATGGTTAACATATCAATCATGTCACCCAGGAAGATAGTGCTACAGTTATTTTACAACAATGTGATCGGTGCCCCAGGGTGTCCGGTTGTAAAAAATAGTTGTGTTTGCAAGGGAATTAAAAGGTAATTTGGTCATATAACTTGGGCATTGGCAAACATAACACAGGATGACAAAGCTCTTTTTCTTAGAGTACAGCACAGTCTAGCCCTGGAGGGGCACTAGATTGTGTGGGAGGACTGAAACAAACCCCTGTGGGCAGAGAGATGGTGAGCAATGCTCTTGTTGATGACTTTTCGGGCATATATATTTGGGAAGGAAAGCTCTTGGAAGGAACATACAGAGATCTGTATAATTTACTGCTTCCACCTCCAATCAATTAACATAATAGGATCCTGAAGCCTGGCATGGGGATGGCTTGGAGTACACCCTGCAAGCAGGACACATGTTCATAGAGCTCTAGAGCCCTCATGGCTTTAACCAGACAATTCTCTGGCTCACATGTGAAAAGCTCTTGGCTTTTCACCATCAGCTGGTGACATCAACATAGCAAATGCTCTGGATGAATGCTCTATTGTCTGTGGAGGTTTTCATTTTTAATTTTATTTTTAATTTAGATGTTGTAATTATTGCATTCTTCTTAGCTGGATTTGAGTCATCTTAGTTGTTTCTTTTTCTTGTTCCTCTTCTTGTATTTTCCTGGTTATTGCTTTTTATTGGTATTATTTGGTAATATAGCTCAAGATTTTTCTCTTTGCCCGGCTCCGTGTCACTGATTATTCTCTCTTATTTTTTACTCTTTTAATGCCTTGTAACCTGTTCTCCTTTCTTCCTTATTATCTCACTTACCTTCCCCTCTTCCTCTTTACCCAAATTATGGCATCGGTGTTACTAGGAGTTGCATAACTGCAAAAGAGAATCAGAACTAATGCTAACATATAGTTAAAGCAGTACCATTCAATGTGTTAGCTCAGACCCCAGAATAAAATCCAAGGAAGCAAGAAATTAAGAAAATTCAGAGCAAAGGCTGTATTGCAGGCCTGGTGACACAGCCCCCTTTGGATCAACCCAGAGACTGTGTGCCTAACAAACTAAGGGAGGGATATTGAAAGCTAAAAACCATAAAGCTATAAAACTGTGGACTTGGTTGAATTAGTTCTGATAACATCTGGAGCTCTTGGTGCATTCTGCTACTCCCACCCTGCGGTTAAACATTATCTCAGAATAGCAAACCTGCAATGACATGCGGAAAGGGGGTAGGGAGTTACAAGAAGCTAAAACTTAAGCTTTTACAAGGATTAGAAACTTAACCCTTTCAAGATGGCACATACAGAACAAGACAGAGGTGCATTGGTTAGAATTAAGTCTTATCATTCAAGTGCATGAGAGGATAATCCTGAAAAACATTAGGGATAGAGAAAACACACAATACTGCCTAGAAATACATGAACAGGTCCTGACAGTCTGCCAGCCCCCCTCCATTTCAAAATATATTTCCATCCATCTGAATACCTCCATCTGCCTATGTATCCTGTGAAACCCCATCAATGCTAGCCCTTTACCTGAGCTATAAAAATAATTTCAACAGGGTCCAGCTTCCTATTTGAACCTATTGACATGTCTTACCTAACTTCCTTCCCAGTAACATACTTCTTTAACTTTTCCTCTTCCTCTACCCATTCTTTCACCCTCCATACATAAGATAAGCTATAGATAGCAGTAGAATATAATATGCATGGAATATTAACAGAGGATATAACTCTCAAAACAAGTGTTAATATTGATTATTAATGTGTTCTTGAAGCTGTAAATGCTCTTAGAAGCAGTTTAATTTTCTCCTTAAATCCCTGATGACACCCAGTCTAACCCAGTTCAGCTGAATAGTTTGAAGTAGTCAACAATAACACTGAAAAATAAAGCAAAGAACAAATCATTGAAAAACAGAACCTCTTATCAACAACAAACTCTTCACTCTACCATATGATGTTAAGAAGACAAACCTAACTAGTTGGAGCTTAAAATTAGAAGATGAAATTTTAAAAATTTGGTTAACAAAAAGCATAGCAAAATTCTTTCCATATATTATCAAAACTTAATATTACAGATAAGTGGGGCTTACTCAATTTCAAAAATGAAGATTGGAGCAGAAATGAACAGAATTGATATGAAAACTAATGCAAATGATGAAAGAAAGAACTGGTTCTTTGAAAGAATGAGTTAAATAGATCAACATTTAGGTAAACTTACCCAAAGAAGAAAATAAAACACCCATATGAGCACATATAGTGAAGACAGAATCACAACATACATAAAACCCTACCAACTAAGAAAAGCACAGTCCTTGACAGATTTACCACTCAATTGCACTGTGGAAAATGACCAATGAAATTGAAAGGGAAGGAGTACTTCCAAAATCATTTATAGAAGCTAGCATTAACTCTGATGCAAAAACCTAACAAAAACCCAACTAAAGAAGGAGACTACAGGCAATGTCATTTAGAGACACACACACACACACACACACACACACACACACACATACACACACACACACACACACACACACACACACAAGACATTACACAAGAGAGTGGCAAATAGAATGCAACTAATCATCCAAAAGCTTCGACCACTAAGGGGCAAGGATGATTCTGTATGCAAACCAATAAATGCAATTGAGGACATAAACAGAAGCAAGATATCAAATGACATCCTCATATCAACAAATCAATGTGTAAATCCTTTTGAGCAAATCCAACATTCATTCTTAATAAAAAAAAATCCTGAAGAAAATAGTTATAGAATGACCTTACCTAAAGGTGATAAATGCCACTTATGAACAACTCCCAGGCTACCTATATTAAACAGGGAAAAGCTAAGAGATGTTTATTTAAAGTCTTTATATTAAAGACCAGGATATTTACTATCACATTACTTTTTCAAAATGTACCCCAAACAATGTCCAGAACATTGAGGAAAGAGAAAGAAATAAAAGCATTATGTATAGAAAAGGAAGAATTCATATTGTCCCTATTTGTGAAAGACATGATCCATTACATAGAAGTCCCAAAAAATTCCACAGAATTAACTCCACCCGGAATTAATCAAATTCAGCAATGTAACAGGATGTAAAATCACTATACAACAATCAATAACATTCCAGTACACCAATCATGAGCACATTGAGAAACAAATTGGGAAGACAATGCCACTCACAATGCATCAAGAAAAATTAAATACTTAGAAATAAAGCTTCTCCAGAGTGAGAGACTTGTGCGATAAAAACTATATGCGTATGACAAAGGAGGTCAAAGAAAATCAGAATGTTGAAAGACATCCCCTGATACAGGATAGGCAGAACCAACATTGTCAGGATTGTTATACAGTTCTTATATACTGAATCACAACAGACATAAAAACCCTACCAACTAAGAAGAGAATAATCCTTGACAGATTCACCACTCAATTGCACAAGATGTCTTCAGAGAGAATATAATGCTAGTACTGTTCAAAATGACCAATGAAATTGAAAGGGAAGGAGTACTTCCAAAATCATTTACAGAGCTAGCATTAACTCTGATATAGATTTAATGCAATCTGAAATATAGATTTAATGCAATCCCATCAAAATACCACCAAAAATACTCATGACATTAGAGAAAAGAATGCTAAAATTCATATGGAACTAAAAGAGGCTCTGAAGGGCACGATCCTTTCTGGGCAATAAGAATAATGCAGGAGGCATCGCAATCCCAGATTTTAAATTTTGCTACCAAGCTACAGTAGTTGAAAAACAGCCTGAAAATGGCATAGCCACAGACATGTGATGCAGTGGAAAAGAACAGAGGATGCAGAAACCACCCCAGACGTATTGTGCCACTTGATTTTGACCAAGGGGCCAAGTGCTTATGCTGGAAGAAAGATAGCCTTTGTTTCTGAATGGTACTGAGAAAACTGTCTGCATGCAGAATATTGATGCTAGCTGCATTTCTCACA